TGTATGTTAAAGAAAGTCAGAACAACAAGAAACATACAAGTATATCCTGTTTTTGGCCATCCGAACGAATTTTAAAAATTCTATACAAATTTTTTATGTTTGAAATGCAACCGTGGACGCCAGCTGGCAGGGAAACTTGCAAATTCCTGCAAATTTGCGTTCGTTCAGAAATTTGCAAGTTTCTCAACATGAGAGAGAATTTGAGAGAATTTTTTCTTACTCTCTGATATTTTGAGTGTTGGATAATTCTTGCTGGATTTTCGACGAACAAACCATTGCTTTCTAGTAGGGCTGTGCGATTAATTGATTACTCAAAATTTTAATTAATCATAAAGTAAATAACTCAATATGAGGGCCTGTGCCAATCGGTAACTTTTTTCTCCGGGGTGAGAGGGTGTGGAAAAATTTGCTGTGGTACAATTAAATTGAATTTTGCTGTGCCAAATGCAACGGAAAATTTTGACAGTTGAAAAACCAAACAAACGCTCATGTGAAGGCTTTATTTTTGTGTGTTGCGGAAACTCTTAAAATTTATATTTATTTTATAATTTGCAAGTAACGTACGCTTTTTATGATGTTTCAGCTTTCATTTTCATGTTCACTCTTTATTACCGCCAAGCAATATTGTGTGTATACATGGTTATCAGCTGTCATAATTTTACGTAGCCCCATGAGCCCACGAGAAATGTCAGATTTTTAATTTGATCCGTCAAAATTTCCTCTTTTCTATCATTTGGCACAGGCTCTAAGATAGCAAAATAACATCAAACTTGGCGCTGCCAGACTGGAATTTGGAATCTTAAAGGCGGATTTTTAATTCGGAATTTTCACTTAGTAGAATTCTCCTTTCTGTGTTGCCGAAGAAGGGGGGCTGAATACCTTTAGCAGAGAACATCTTTTAGCATAGGCGGCCTTCGGCCGCACTTAAGGATTAGTACCAGCTTGGCCGAGCTTTGCCCGGAGTGCATATACATTTTAAAGTTTACAAGATTTGGATAGCACTGAAAAAATAATTTGGAAATAAAAAAAAACATTGGATTTCGATATCTATTAAGCAAATTTCTTACTCCAAAATTTATGTGGCAACCCTATTCCGCACAACGCTGGAACGAATGGTACATATCTCGAGCGTATATGCACTGTGTATACATAATACTGATTGAAATTAACAAAATAAAATATTTTCTGACCAAAGTTCTCAACAATACGTTTCATTTGATGACCATAGTTTGTGTTTTTAGGTAAATTGTGCAGAATCGAATATAAGTGGCAACCTTACACTATTATCCTAAGGGATAACATTTTGTATATGGGGAAAGCACTATTAAAGAACCTTCTCTTGGTACCCATGAATAGTAATATTTACCTGTTTTTCTAAATAAATTAAATAAATTTGTGAAAATAGGTGGCAATCCAATTAAAAATATTTTTGAATTAGGGATCTTTAAAATACCTTCCTTTTGATACCCGTATTATGATGTTTTAATTAATTTGTAATTAATTTCGAATGGGTGGCAACCTTATACGAGTCTTCTCGGAGATAGTACCTATTCAGATAACCTTAAAATCCAAAACATTATCGGTGTATAAAATTTCATCAAAATCGTTAGAGCCGTTTCCGAGAACCCTATGGATATATATATATATATATATACGAGAATTGCTCGTTTAATGAAATAAGATAACCCACACTAAGTAGAATTATCCTTTCTGCATTGCCAAAGAAGAGGGGCTGAACACCTTTTACAGAGAGCACCTTTTTGCGTAGGCGGGGGAGATTACGATAACCGGGCGACAAATTTTGACTTTGCCATTGGAAAGCTGGGCATCCCGCTTTTCAAATATACCCACTTTTAGGGGTCGGGGCCTTCTAGTTTTCAAGACATTTAGTGTTGAAAGTTATTTTGTTAGATTTCTTTATTTTCATAAAATGACCTTTTTTAAAAAAAATTACATGATTAATGCTAAAGAAATATACAGTGACGAGCAAAACTGTAACATGGTGTAACACTTTTAATTTCAGCCACCGCTATCTTTCCAAGTTCTAACAACTTTCATACTATTGTTGTATACTCTTATTTTTACACCCCTACTCCCTCTCCCTTATTCCAGAACCCGAATTTTCGTAATTCGTAATTCGTAGCTACGCTACGAAAAACGAAAAATCCAGATGCTGCAACCCTTGCGGAAACATTTGCAGCATTGCCAGCTATCAGTTGTTTTTCGAAGATAGCTGAATGATGGGAAACAAAGTGGAAAGGAATTAAAAAAACACTCATCATGTGCTTGTTTATTGTAAAATTGGTTAATTTTACATATTTTGAGGAAAATTATGGATTCTGATGCATTTGCAGTTATAGCAGCAAAGTAAGAGGGCGCTATGGCAATGGATTTACAAAGGTATGCGGAGTTGTACCGTGGGCGCATCTATGTCAGCTTCTGTTTGAATTGTTGAACCACAAGCTAGAACTCCTCCTATGCCTGAAGAACTGGTTCCCAATCCCGTTAGTGCAATAACAGCTTCTTCCAAGCCATTGAAAACATGCATTTTGTTAGGTCCACCACCTGTTGCGCTTGCTTCTGCCGCGCTTAGGGATTATAACCCACACTAAGTAGAATTCTCCTTTCTGTGTTGCGAAAGAAAAGCAGCAGAACACCTTTTGCAGAGAACACCTTTCAGCGTAGGCGGCCTTCGGCCGCACTTAGAAATTATAACCCTCACTAAGTAGAATTCTCCTTTCTGCGTTGCCGGAGAAGGCACCTTATGTGAATAAACTACAGTAATGTAAGATTGTCACTTGCTTGTAAATGCGTTTAATTTTTTTTCACTGAATTCTTAAGCCTCAAAAGCTGATCATAATAAAAAATGTATACCAATCTAAAGGTAATAACTTGTACTTTCTAAGTAATGTACAGTGACAAGCAAAACTGTAACATGGTGTAACGCTTTTTATATCAGCCGCCGCTATCTTTCCAAGTTCTAAGTTTTAGTTGAATTGAATTTTTGCTAAAACTTTATAAGCTGTATATAACATTTGTACATCGTATTAAAGGCATTCATGATTCCTATTGAAATGTTGAAATCCATGCTTTTGTGTTCAAGATATTTGGATTTAAAAAAGTTGTGAATTTAATCTTTGACCCGTGGTAACCTCTCTAGTTTTTGTTTCCCATCAAAAAAAAAAAATATATACCGTCATACTTGCTTCGAAAACCTCTATCGACGTCCTTGTTCAAAATTTGTCGCCCCGGTTATAGTTATCGTGCCCGTAGGCGGCCTACGGCCGCACTTAGGGATAATGACCCACACTAAGTAGAATTCTCCTTTCTGTGTTGCCTTCTTTGTATCTGTTGTTTTGTACAGAATGGCAACACATCTTATGTGTCAGTTTGCAACCATGTGTTATTGTAAATATGGGTGCAATGTAATGTAATTTACAAGTTAATAAAATTTAGATTAAAGTGATTTATATACACGATGAAATAAAATAAAAGTTTGTAAACTATTATGTAGAGTGTTGTGTGCATTTTTATATATGAAAGTATATGACAAATGCATTTTTTGTTAAGGAAATCAAGTGGAACGATTTAAGAAATTTTAACAACAAATAACATCGCGCGATTTTTTGTAAGGAAAAGTGAATTATTACGAAATACTAATACAGTGGCAGCACTATAGCTATTTTGGAATCTCGCGTTTCAGTTCGCAAAGATTGTCAACTTCTTTTAGTAACAAAATAATCTATCTTAGGTTGATAAAACTATGTGTTTGTTTAATAATTAAGTTATAAGTTAACAGTATATTTTAATAGGGTAATTCTCTAGGGTGGGGTAACAAAACCTAAAAAAGGTGCGGAAAAGTCGGGAGGGGTACCAAACGACGCGTTTCGGCCCCCTAATAACAATCCGGAGGGGGGGAGATAATATTATTAACCATTTAAAAGTTATGAACAAAAAACTTTTGTTAAATTTCGTTGTTTTCTATGGGCAATTACCACGTCAAAAATGCACTAAATCACCAGTTTCCACTTTTAAAACACTACTAAAACGTTTCCGATTATTATTTTATGCAAACCAAATCATTTATTCACTTCTATTTTATATATTTCGTTAATAAAACAGAGTAAACAAACTTTGCGCCTGCTAAAATTATTAAACCTCAAATCGCTGGTATTGCCACTTTATTTCACATCTCATTTGCGCTATTATACTCAGTTTACACTATACACTTCTTATTCTTCTTCTTTTTACTTTCATCTAAATAAGATATTGTAACCAAAATATAATAGCAAATTTCGCTATACCATCGCGCGGTTTTTTATTAAAAATTTTCATTATTTATCGAAGTATTAATTTTTATAGAAAAAGCGCCGCAGGCGAAAATTTTTAATAAAAAATCGCGCGATTTTTTATTAAGAATTTTCATTATTTATCGAAGTATTGATTTTTATGGAAAAAGCGACGCAGGCGAAAATTTTCATTATTTATATATATATTAAACGAAAGAAGATACCGAAAAGCATTGAACAGTGCACACATCTCATAAGGAAAAGTGAATTATTACGAAATACTAATACAGTGGCAGCACTATAGCTATTTTGGAATCTCGCGTTTCAGTTCGCAAAGATTGTCAACTTCTTTTTAATAACAAAATAATCTATCTTAGGTTGATAAAACTATGTGTTTCTTTAATAAATAAGTTAAATTATATATTTTAATAGTGTTTAAAAAGTGAGAACAGGTGATTTAGTGAATCTTTGTCGGTGTAATTGCCCATAGAAAACAACGAAATTTAACAAAAGTTTTTTGTTCATAACTTTTAAATGGTTAATAATATTAACCATTACTTCTGCTGTGTTTGCCAGAATCGACTCCACCCGAACTCCACTTCGGTTAGGTGCAACTCCTGCAACGGGTGGAGTCACCTAAGAACCTGCTCTGGCCTTAGGTCTCACCGGGAGTGGACCACAAACTTTGTGGCTCCCTGTTGCTCAAGCCAAATGGCACAATCAGCCTCCACGGCTACCCACTCGCGTAATGCACGGGTGCGACCTAGCACCCGAAGAGCCTGCACGGCCCCTAGAAGCTCCCCTGAGCAACAGCAAACCTCCCAACACACCCCTCCCACACAACCTCCCACCAACACATGCCTTGGCTGGTGTCACTTCCGGCTATGTTCTGGTCTACGCACCACTCGCGAATGGACTACAAACTACAGCGCCCCTTGCTGTAGTGCACCGCCGACGCAGACAACAACGCCCATATCGCAGCCACCTACCATCAGGCTGCAACAGCAACTGCGTCAGGCGCCACAGGCCCAAGGTAGGCCCCACACTTCTCTGACCCCCCGTATCGCGACCAGCCTCCCAAGGCACATAAACGTACTCCAACTCAACTGCAACGGACTCCAGAGCAAGATTGAGGAGATAGCAGTCTTCATGGGTCGGCACGGCATATTGATAGCTGCGGTCCAAGAAACGAAGTTGCACAGCAACTCAACTCTGTTGGGTTGCGCCGCCTACAATGTGCTCCGTAAAGATCGCGAGCGAGATAATGGTGGTGGACTAGCGTTCATTCTACATCACACAGTGCAGTATCGGCTAATCGAAGAAGACATCGAACCAAGGGACACTACCCTAGAATGTCAGGGCATAGCTGTCCGGTCAGGCGATGTCGAGCTCGAAATATTTAACGTGTACATACCCCCTGTCACCTGCTGCCCGGCTGGATATCTCCCTGACATAGGTGCGCTACTCAGAGGCGAATACCGATTGGTAGTAGGTGACTTCAATGCGCACCACGATCTTTGGCACTCAAGCCTGGCCAATGATCGGAGGGGAAACAGTTTGGCTGAGCAGATAGACGATTCGACATTCTGCACCATTAACGACGACGCCCCCACCAGGATTGTGGGCAGCTGCAGCAGCTCGCCAGACGTAACAATTGCTAGCGCTGGTCTGATAAATAGCATATCATGGCGACCTATGCTAACGTTAGCATCAGACCATCTGCCCATAATCATCTCGATCAATAAGCCCACCGACTTTGCTCCCGCGGATCACCGAACCTACACCAACTTCAACAAAGCTGATTGGAACGGCTTCGCGGAAGTTACCGAGAGCAGCTTCGCCGCCCTCCCCACACCCACAGACGTACATGCTGGCGAACGCCAGTTCCGCAAGGTAGTCACAGCCGCAGCAGCTCGCTACATACCGTCCGGACGCATCGCGGAAGCCCGCCCAAATTTCCCGGCTGAAGCAGCTGTACTAGCAAATGAGCGTGAACACCTACGCCAGGTCGACCCCGGGGACCCTCGCTTGAGGGAACTTAATTTGGAGATTCGGCAACTGGTAAATCAACACAAGCGGACAAAGTGGGAAGAGCACTTGAAGGCCTGTAACTTCACCTCTGGTGTGAGTAAGCTCTGGTCAACCGTGAGGTCATTGTCCAACCCGACGAAGCGTGATGACAGAGTGGAAATTTCATTCGAAGGTCACGCCTCATCGGACCCGAAGAAATGCGCGAACTATTTCAGTCGGCAATTCACACTGCATCCTTCGGTAGACAAGGCCAAACGTCGAGTGACCAGGAGGCTGCACAAACTGCCCAAAAACGATGCACCACTTGTTTTCACCAGCGGTGAAGTAAAGGGGGCCATCGGGAAGGCGAAAGCCTCCAAAGCCATTGGACCCGACGGAATCTGTATGCTGATGTTGAAACATTTGGGGCCTGTGAGGGTAGCATACCTCACGGAGGTCCTCAATTTGTCTATGACCACTCTCATCATTCCTGATGTGTGGAAATCAGGGAGAGGGGTCCCACTGCTGAAACCGGGGAAGCCCGCCAACAGAGGAGACTCTTATCGCCCGATAACGCTCCTTTCCCCGGTCGCGAAGACACTTGAGGCCCTGCTGCTCCCATACTTCACCTGCCACCTAACCCCAGCGAAACATCAGCATGGCTTCCGTAAAGTGCACAGCACAACAACAGCACTTAACGCCATAAACACCCAGATAACCCGCGGCCTAAATCGAAACCGCCCCTGTGAGAGAACTGTCCTAGTAGCGCTGGACTTGTCAAAGGCGTTTGACACCGTCTGCCATTCCACGCTGCTAGAAGACATTGAGGCCTCCTCTCTCCCACAGGGACTGAAGCGATGGTCGGCGAATTATATGAGTGGTCGGCAATCATCAGTAATCTTCAGAGATCAAACCTCGAAACCTAGAAGAATAAAACAAGGGGTTTACAAGGTGGTGTTCTCTCCCCCTTACTTTTTAACTTCTATATCTCGAAACTCCCACAGCCACCTGAAGGAGTTTCCCTGATCTCCTACGCTGATGACTGTTCGATTTTGGCGTCTGGGAATGGAATTGATGACCTCTGCTCAAAAGTAAACGGCTATCTCTCCAGCCTTTCTCGCTTCTTCACTGCAAGGAGCCTAACCCTCTCCCCAACGAAATCAACGGCGACCCTCTTCACCACCTGGACGAAGGAGGTCAGGCTTGAATTAGGCATTCACGTCGACGGCACACCAATACCGACGGTGAACAACCCGAAAATTTTAGGGGTTACCTTTGATAGCCTGCTCTCTTTCTCCGCGCACACAACCGCAGTTGTCAACAAAGTACAGAGCCGCAACAAGGTCCTCAAGTCGCTCGCCGGCAGCACTTGGGGCAAAGACAAAGAAACGTTGTTGGCAACATACAAGGCAATTGGCCGGCCGGTTCTAAATTATGTTGCGCCAGTTTGGACGCCGGGGACTAGTTGGACGCAGTGGACGAAGCTACAGACTTGTCAGAACGCCGCACTCCGGACAGCGACTGGGTGCCTTCTGATGACGCCTGAGCATCACCTACACAGTGAGGCCCAAGTGCTCCCCGTAAGGGAACACAACAAGATGCTCTGTAAGCAGTTTCTTGTGGGGTGTCACAGAAGTGAACACCCCAACAGACCACTGCTGGAGGAGGAGCCTCCGCCCAGGCACGTCAGGGGGCACCTATTCATGTACAAGGACGCAGTCCAGACCTACACAGACCAACCACTGGACCCAATGACGTACAGACGAGCGATTAACGACATTCATAGGGAGTCTGTCTCCACCTACCTCGACTCCCGGCCTAGGAATGTCGTTATCGGAGCCCAATCACCACCTGTGGAAGAGACGGAGCTTCAGTTACCTAGAGAGACCCGCGTTACCCTGGCTCAGTTACGGTCTGGATATTGTAGCCGCCTAAACAGCTACCTGTCCAGACTCGACCCAAACATCCCAAATGAGTGCCCGGCATGTGGAGACTCCCCCCACGACACCAACCACCTCTTCACATGCCAGCTCAATCCGACTCAACTAACACCTTCCTCCCTTTGGTCCGACCCCATCGAAACAGCTCGTTTCCTGGGCCTACCGTTAGTTGAGCTTGACGATAATGATTAAAAGTTGACCCGAAACAGGCGGGGCTTAGTAGTGCCGCTACAACAACAACAACCAAACATTTCATATAGACTATTTGGCAAAAAAATAAAATATAAATTAATAACTAATTTAGCATACTATTTAAGAGTAGTTTGAAATTAAACTTCGAAGAGAAATCGTAGGCAGAAGAGTTTAGAGCTCTGCGAATACCAAACTTTCTGGCAACACTGCTTGTAGTCTGTCATACGCCACTGTTCTCCTCGTTCGTTCGGATTTCGCAGCTCAACTCGTAGAAATTGTTTTGCATTTGTGTCGGGACGGTAAATTTCTTTTGTGCTATGTTTTTAAAAAATAAAAATTTAATGCTACTTGGCAAAATATCGATAACCTAAAGTGTAACCGTGTTAATAAATGCAGCGCAGTTTAGTGCTTGTGCAATGAAGACTGGCATAGTTTCTATGAATAGAATGTCGACCCTTTTCGGTGTTCGAAACAATCCTGTTCAGTGATTAGGAAGAACGGAAAAATACCAAGTGGATAAGATATCGAGTGTTAAAATTTCTTATAAAATATTCTAAAAGTGTAGGATATTTTGGTAATTCTCTAGGGTGGGGTAACAACCCCTAAAAAAGGAGGGAGCGAGATAATATTAACCATTTAAAAGTTATGAACAAAAAACTTTTGTTAAATTTCGTGGTTTTCTATGAGCAATTACCACGTCAAAAATGCACTAAATCACCAGTTTCCACTTTTAAAACACTACTAAAACGTTTCCGGTTATTATTTTATGCAAACCAAATCATTTATTCACTTTTATTTTATATATTTCGTTAATAAAACAGAGTAAACAAACTTTGCGCCTGCTAAAATTATTATAACCTCAAATCGCTGGTATTGCCACTTTATTTCACATTTCATTTGCGCTATTATACTCAGTTTACACTATACACTTCTTCTTCTTCTTCTTTTTACTTTCATCTAAATAAGATATTGTAACCAAAATAATAGCAAATTTCGCTATACCATCGCGCGATTTTTATTAAAAATTTTCATTATTTATCGAAGTATTGATTTTTATGGAAAAAGCGCCGTAGGCGAAAATTTTTAATAAAAAATCGAGCGATTTTTTATTAAAATTTTTCATTATTTATCGAAGTATTGATTTTTATGGAAAAAGCGCCGCCGGCGAAAATTTTTAATAAAAAATCCCCCTCCTTTTTGAGTATGTAGTTAGGCAGCCCATTAAATTATAGTAAAAAAATGCGAGTTCGGAGTTAGTCAAAAATCGCGTTGATTTTTGAGTATTTTTTTTTGTTAAAGGTGTTTTACATTTTTTCCATATAAAGTATTTTCGAAAATTATTTTTGTATGGAAGATACTGCGTGAAAAAAATTTCCAATAATCAACGGTAGTTCCTAGCTACTTAAAACTTGCACGTTATTATAATAAAATTTATTGGGCTACAAATCTGCATACTCAAAAAAATTCTAAAATATCTGATTAAAAAGGTGAAAATTTTCATGAAAATTTGCTGAATTTTCGCGAGTTTTGCACAAAGTTTAGGAATTATACTTTTATGTTTTATGTTGTAGAATGAACCATATTTTTATACAAAATTAGCGGAAAAATATTAGAAGGAAAATTGTTGCATATATTGTGAAAAATTTGCTGTGCCAATACTTTGTTCCGGCAGTGTATGTATGCAAACGTTTCAATTACGTGAAAAATATTTTTTTCTATAAATTTTCATATCCAATTCAATTAAAAAACATTTTTATTTTTTTTTATTCATTGCAGCCATTCGTTTTGTGTTTAGTTATTGCATATGTGTACATATATACATATATTTTTCTTTGCACGATTCATTTCGTTTGTTGCTTCGTCTGTAACTACTAAACTACTGTAGTGTACTATCGCCAAAGTGAACTTAGCCGTTTTGTTTTCGTATTGTACCGAACTGTTGAAGTAATAAACGAAAACTGGAAAAAAACATCAAAGATTTAGTATTGTTTTTTTTTTATTTTACTAGTTGAAGTTGTACTATTGCACATATAATTCTTTTAATGGGGTATATCAGAACAACGCTTTTAGAAAACGCTATGCGCTCAACTTTATTACTCGCATAAATTGACAAAAATTTTCTTTTTATAAGCTTTTATTAAGTTTACCTGTGCGTAATTAAATCTTGCAATCAATGTTTAACCAACTTCCCGATGAGCTGTAGGCCCCCTACGCGGAAGGGAGTCCGCTCTTTTCCAGAAGCACAGAAAGGGGAATTCTACTTAGTAACTTTGGGTTTACATAGGACAATTTTGCGAAGACAATAGCGATACATTCACATTTTTACTAATGCATTCACACTTCTCTCATTGTCTTGGTCACTGTCTTTGATTTTTCGAAGACAGTGAAGGGGACAGTAAATTGGACAATTCGGTCACGTCTTGGTAAAATATGAATTATGAAACAGTGGTTTGGGTTTGGACATTTTAGTAAATAATATAAAATTCACGCCAAACGAAAACTAACGGCGGTCTCTGAAAAATGTATTGTCTCTATAATTGTCTGGACACCTATTTTACACATCAATTTCACAACTAATACATATTCTCCGTTGTCTTGTCTCAAATTGTCTTATGTAAACGCAGCGTTAGGGTACTAATCCCTAAGCTCGGCCGAAGGCCGCCTACCTGGAAAGATTTCAGCCGTTAGGAGAATTTCACTTAGTAAGGGTTATAATCCCTAAGCGCGACCGAAGGCCACCTACGCGGTAAAGACTTCAAGACCTAATAATAATATTTCAATAAATACGGAAATATAAGAATGTATATTTAATAAGAAAAGTATTTTTATAGTGAGAAATCCTATTCTATTAGGTAATGGCTAAGCTCAGGGCCTTAACCGGGGTCACACAGGGCGGATCGTGAACGGCCTACTTCGGTGGGTTAGCTGCGAATAACCAATAAGCAGTCCCAGACCAAGAGCGGCAGGAGCCGAGGGCCTGATTTAAAAGATCAAAAATGCTTGATGAATCTCCTGTGTCCGGGCGAACAGATGCCGCCTCCCAAAAAGCATCCCAGGATTGAGGCCAGTTAGATCCTGTTCATGGCATACTGGAACATGTGTACGATTAATTCGACATTGGGCTGGCGAGAGCAGTATTCCACCACTTTAGTATGTGAGGGTGACACCTCACAGTAATGGCTGGTGGGCTAATGCTTCAATCGCCTCCGTCTCGTTAAAACCCTGGCAGGTCTTCAAGTACGTTCAATACACGTCGTCATTTAGTTGGCCGCACAGGTCCAGTTGAGATTTACTCCTGGTTTTTCGCTGTCTTGGCTCTGAACACAATATTCCATAAGGACTTGTTTCAACCCTCGCGATGGCCTGCTCCTTTGAGAGAAGGGAACTTCGGGACACTTAAAGCGACTGTGCTACGTGTGGAGATATCGGCTTGAAGCGGAGACCCAATAGAACTGAAATGATTAAAAAAACAACAAAAACAAATGTAATAGATGTAGATGTTCCCGAGGAAGAATGTGCGCTCACACACAAGCTCCTCTGCAGGCAAAAGCCGGCACCACGAGCACGGAGAAAGCCGCCGACGTGGTGCAGAAGGGTACACCTTTGCAAACGAATACTCCCGGCAGCCGGGATGGTGGTCATCAAACGCCAACTGCTGCAAACAGGGACAAGCATGCCACCGCAAGCTTGAAAACTTGCGAGGGCAATGTAGATGAGCAATTGGCACAGATTCGGCTCGTCTTGAAGAAGATGCAGAGTGCTGTTTCCAAGCAGAAAAATGTGTCCATGGACATAAAAACGGGTATGGCCCAAATCGAGGGGAGCCTAAATATACGAAGCTACCTCCGAGAGCAGCACCGGAAGGGGTCTACCCTTTCCGAGCTGCAGAAAACT